GGACTATAGCCCGATAAAAACCCGTTAACGGGTGACCGGGCTAACCGGGTTTCGGTGCACCGTTACTAAAATATGTTCGTCCAAAACTCGCTCCCCGCCCAACCCATCCTAGCCCGTCCCCACCCCCTAGTAGTGAATAACTCGTAGTGATTGTCTTCAGTGCTTTCTTCTGGTTATTTTTGATTGATTCTGACTTAAGAGTCCAATGAGCAGGTAGTATAAATATATTTACTTGGCTGAATAAAATTTCTTTTAACAAAATAAAATAAAATATGGAGTTAATATTCTATAATATGTTTAATGGCATTAAATTATCTCTGGTCGAATTTATTTTATTAACGTAACCATATGAAAACCTAAAAAATAAGTTTTACTAAGTGATAATGTTAGAAATATCGTAAAACATTTATTCGAAAACTAGATTCAAATTCTAGTTTTACGCAAACCAACACAAAATAAATGATTCATTCCTAGTTAAATTACCTATAAGGTAATTATAAGTAAATCTTATCATTGATAAACAATAATATAACCTAGTAAGTAATAATTTATTATTACATGTTAAACTATATAAATAATGTAAACTATGTATACATTGTTAATATATACGGAAAAGGGTTTCAAATGCCCTTAAACTATTGAAAAATGTTTAAAAATACCCTTTATTCACCAATTGGGCTAAAAATACCCCTCCATCCACCTTTTTGGTTCACTTATGCCCTTTGACTCTTAGATCAATGCTAAATTAAAAATATTTAAAAAAAATATTTTTTTCAGTTTTTTTAAAGCATTTTTTTGTAAAAACAGGAAAACAAATTGTAAAAACAGAAGAAAAAATTATTTTTATCAAAAATATTTTTGTTTTCTAAAAACTGAAAAAAACAATTCAACAAAATATTTTTTTTTTAAATTTTTTTTTCATTTATTCAGTTTTTTTTCATTTTTCCATTTTTTAATATTTCAGTTTTTAAAAAACAAAAATATTTTGTTAAAAAACGAAAATATTTTTTCCAATTTTTACAATTTTCTTTTTTAGTTTTTATAAATTTGTTTTTTCAATTTTTACAAAAAAAAAAATGCTTTCGAAAAACTGAAAAAATTGAAAAAAAAAATATTTTTCAAAAACGAAAATATTTTGTTTAAAATAGTTTTTTCAGTTTTTAAAAAACAAAAATATTTTATTAAAAACAATTTTTTCTGTTTTTACAAAAACAAATTCCAGTTTTTACAAAAAAATTGCTTTAAAAAAACTAGAAAAAAATGAAAAAAATATTTTTTTGTAAAAACTGAAAAAAAAAAGACTTTACTAAATTAGTGGACTACTTGTGGATTAGTTTGCAAAATATTTTTTTTAAGTAATTTTTTTTAATTCAACATTGATCTAATGGTCAAAGGGCGTAAGTGAACCAAAAAGGTGGATGAAAGGGTATTTTTAACCCAATNATATATATATATATCCTCCGCTTATATATATAAGGACCAAAAATTGGAAAAGGGCCAAAAATGTCCTTGAACTATTCGAAATAGCTCAAAAATATCCTCCGCTTGTTTTTGGTGCCAAAAATATCCCTGCCGTCTATGTTTTGGACCACAAATGCCCCTAAGTCGTTAGTCTTGTCATTGAAGCTGACATGACAGTCCAACTAAGTTAGATTTGCTTACATGGCCATCAACCTAAGCAATTTAGCATGGCAAAACTATTTTTTCGGAAAAACTATTTTTCCGAAATTTTTTATTAAAATGCAAAATCAACATTTATTTTGAAAAAAGTAAAAAATATTCAGAAAAATTATTTATTTCGGAATTTTTTTATTAAAATACAAAATCAACACTTATTCCGAAAATAGTAAAAAGATTCCGGAAAAATTATTCTTGATTGGCTTTATGATTTGATTAAAAAACTCCATTGTTTTCTTTTGTGAATTTATGATTAGTTTGATCTAAAATTTTAGATACTTATCAGTTATAGCTTCACAAAAGGCACACTTCTACTATAAGTATCAATTGGTTCATCTGAAGTTCTTATAATTTTTGGAGTTTTCAAATTTTAAAAAATTCCAAAATTTAACTTTAAGTGAAATTAAAAAATTTCACGGTCGAACACTTATTCCGAAAAAAGTAACAAATTTCCGGAACAATATATTAAAGCACGCTCCAAAATAATTTATTTTGTATATTATATATAATATTTTAATAAATAAATAATTTTTCTTAATTTTTTTTTACTATTTTCGGAATAAGTGTTTATTTTGTATTTTAATAAAAAAAATCCAAAATAAATAATTTTTCCGAATATTTTTTACTTTTTTGGGAATAAATGTTGATTTTGTATTTTAATAAAAAAATTGGAAAAATAATTTTTTCGAAAAAATAATTTTATCATGCTGGATTGCTTAGGTGGATGGTCATGTAAGCAAATCTAACCTAGTTGGACTGTCATGTCAGCTTCAATGGCAAGACTAACGGTTTATGGGCATTTGTGGTCCAAAACATAGACGGCAGAGATATTTTTGGTACAAAAAATAAACGGAGGATATTTTTGAGTTATTTCGAATAGTTCAAGGACATTTTTGGCCCTTTTCCGGGAAAAAAAAAAAGGAATCCCGCCTTTACTTTTCAAAATGAAAAATGAAATAATCAACGTTTATTTAGGATTCTTTGTCACAAAACCCAACAGAAGGTGACCGTTCCCTCCTTCTCTTATCTCCTAATAGTAATTTCATTATTATCCCTTTTCATTTTCTTTGATTTTTCAAATTCAAAACTGACCGTTGCAACAATCTTTCCTTTTTCTATTACCCCCAAACTCCAAATCCCATTCATAAAATCACTCTCTTGCTCATTCTCCAAAACTCAAAAAACATTCCAAGAAAAAGTGTGGGAAAAAAATCTGAATTTTCAAATGGCACTCAGATCTCTCGATAACGCTCTCCCTGTTGCACTTGAAAGACCCAAAAAACAAGCAAAAGTCATAGCAGCAGTAAATCATAATCAGAAACAGTCTGAAGTTGTTGTCAATGATGAAAACAAGGCTCCTGTGCTAGATTCCACCGTTGATTACATCCCATCTGAAAATCTTGAACCTATTCCCGGCCCAGATAGCAAAATCCAGGTAACTCTATTTTTCTCTGGATTTAAGTTATATACACCATCAATGTAAAGATTTTTTACACTTTCAGTATAATTTAACTTGTTACAACAGGTTTTCACACAATTTTTCAGGTTATCATATCAAGATTGATAGAAATAGTTTATAGTTACCTATTGTTGTAGGTTAATTTTTTACCCCATGGTGTAAAAAATCTATACCCCATCCACGTCATATATACGCGTTAAAAGATTCACTAAATAATCAATTTGATATTTGAACCAGTAAATTAGACATGATGTCGTAGAATTTTGAATCTGAATTTATAAAGTTTAAATCCCGGATCTGCTTGTGGGGGGAACTCTCTTGTTGTTTCTTCTCTCTTTCTTGAAATTAAAGATTTTATTACCATTGATTGAATTTTTCTTTTGTAAATTTCAGGGACTTGTTGAAGGGTTGGAATCTAAAGATTGGTTGGAAATTTGTCACTCACTGAATGATACGAGGCGATTTGTGTTGTTTCACTCTGCTCTCTTGCTGCCAATTTTGTAAGTTCACTATTGAATTTATGGGAATTGTGTTGTTTGATTTTAGGTGTTTGAATTTTGGGATGAGAGATGTGGTTTCTTTTTTACTTATTTTTATGTCGTTTTGCAATGTTAGGGACAAAGTTATGTTGGTGATTGTTAAGGCAATGAAAAATCCAAGAAGTGCTCTTTGCAAGACTTCTGTCATGGCTTCAGCTGATATCTTGAAAGCTTTTGGTGATAAGTTATTCGAATCACCTATTTCTGATGCATTTGAAAACGTGGTACGTATCTGCCCTTAAGGATCTTGTCAGAGCTATCGAGTTGGTAACGTTCTAGTGACTGTCTAATGATAATTTAATTGGATTGTATGGCTTTTTACAGCTTTTGCAGCTGCTGCTGAAGGCTTCTCAAGACAAAAGGTTTGTTTGTGAAGAAGCAGATAAGGCGCTCAAGGCAATGGTGGAGTCAATGACTCCTCTTCCTTTGCTCCATAAGCTTCACACCTATGTGAAACATTCCAACATGAGAATCAGAGCAAAAGCTGCAGTCTCAATTTCAGATTGTGTTTCTAAAATGGTTGGTGAACTTATACATTCCCTTGAACTTACAACTTATTTCTTTCCAGAATGTAACTGTTGCAGCATTTTGCTAACACAAACTAACGGTTGGCATTTCTATTCTAGGAACGGAATGGAATGGAGGAGTTTGGATTCGTTTCGTTGGTTCAAATTGCTGTAAATTTGCTCAATGATCGACTCCCCGAGGCAAGAGAAGCAGCTAGAAGTATAGTGGTTTCAGTATACGAGGCATTAACAGAGAATGAAGAGCAGAAACAAGAGACATGGCAAGACTTTTGCCAGTCTAATCTTCCAGCTATTCATTCACAAGCCATGGTTAAAATTGTTTCTTCCTAGTAGACTTTACAAAAGACAGAGTAATAGCAGTAAAAGCTCTTGTTTAGTGAGCCTAGGAAGCAGCAGCATGCTGCAACTTCATGTATTATCATTTTGTTCCCAAAAGTTCGTTTGAGAAGTAATTTAAGTGAAATAATAGTTTTCACTCACAAGTCTTCAACATTTTTTCCAAAGTGGTTCATGTCAAAAACAATTTCAACTGCACCAAATACTTTTGTTCAACTGAACTTAAAATATTCATTTCTTTTCAACTTCACTCAAATAAATAGGCTCTATTTTTCATTTTTTTCGACCACAAGCAAAGATCACATAACTCTAAAAATGCTGATGATAAAAACAATGCCTCGTGAAATATAGTTCACAGAGCTTGCTGGCAATGACTATGATTGAAATCTTCTTTCAGCTTAGCAATCCGCTGCAAAAGTTTTCTCACCCAACAATGATGCAATAGAAAAGTACAACCACAAATAAAAGGGAAAACCGTTTAATTATATGCACAGAAATAATGTGGCGTTGTGTGTATGTTTTACATAGATGATTCTCAACAAATGCACATTGTGCATGAGTTCTCCAAGCCTCATAAATAGACAGAAAAAAGGGTAGCCCCTAGTAAGAAAATGAAAAGCTCTATTTGATCTTTCAATGATTTTTCAAGTGAAGCAAAACAAGATTGTATCCCACAGATAAAATGCCATATGTTGGTCCATTGATAAGATAGAGAGACCCTCATTTCTTGTATCTGCTGCAATCAAGGACGGGCAGCTTCAATCTCATTAGCATAGATGCCAAGATATCACCAAAATTTCTCTAGAGAGACAAAGGATCTATTCTTCTTCAACAGAGATTATTCTGGTTCAACCAATGAGCGCAAGGCCATCTCAACATCAGTTAATGGTTGTCCAGCATAAAGCTTCAGTTTCCCCTTCTTCACAACGATTGCCTTCATAGCATGTGATCTAACTGCCTCGATAAGTTCCTGAAAATATAAGTATTTTATGCCTTCTTAATAAGTGAATGATCAGAATTAAAAAATATCATGGTATATACACAAGTTGAAAATTCAGTTACACGTTCATAGATACTGTCACTCTTGCGGAGTAACAAATTAACCAACTTTTCTTTAGTGGACTTTCAACAGTACTAATAGTCCTTGAAAGGGTAGTAGGGTGGTTGTTATCAAAAAATTAATAAGGTCCTCAAAATGCAATTGGAATAGAATGCAATACATGGAAATAACATAAAGATACTCAGACAAGCTTAATATTCTTACTTTAACAGGAAAAGGGACAATTTCAGCACTGAAGTCTCCTAAATCGTCAAAGAAGGACTCCAAGAGATAACAAAAATTGGTGGCATCACCACGATCTTCAAAGGCAACTGTATGAGATGAGCTACCATTCGCATTAGAGCTACTTTTTATGGCAAATAATCCTTCTGGTCCTTCATCTTCATGACCTCTCCTCATGCGAATAACCTGCATATTAACATGCACGTTGGTAACAGAAGCATGAAGCAAAAGCCACAGCAAACACATTTATTCAGACTTTGGAAAATTGGAAACAGACAGGACAGGAAACAAAAAGCAATCTATCTGACATAGGATTAAGATTTGTCCGTTCAAAACACATTAACATATAAATTTTGACTGTGAATATCCAATATAAGGTCAATGAATCACACAAGAGCATTGTCAAGTATCTTTCTTGCTATACTGAATTATTGGTACTTAAACAACCGGATGTCAGCAATATACCAACTAGAAAAGTTCTCTGATCTTTAACACAAATATGCAAGTGCCTCAGTAAGGGAATCCGTGAAATATATGAAACAAAATTATTGAGGAGAGCAACAACCAAAGGAAGAGGGTAAGGTTATACAATATGCAAGGGAGATAAAAATGGCTGGTTAAAGCACTTCTAGCACGATGCTACATAAAATCTGATAAATATTTCTCACATGATAAGACAAGGATCACAGTTATCCCAAAAAAAAAAAAAAAGATAGAGAGAGAGACAAGGCAATGATCCCAAGTTCAAGTAAACTGCAGTAACAGCACATTGCTTCAGTTCAATAAATTGGCTTCCTCCCAGACTTCCCACCTTTCAAAATCTAAACAGAGCTCAGATCTTTTTTTTTTTCTTTTGACATCACCAAGTTTGCTGCAATACTTAGAACCACAAATAGTGGGAATACAAGCTGTCGAAAACAAACAAGTAAGAAGTGATCATAGATCCATATACATACAAGAACATAAGGAAGACTGAACCACCACAAGTCAGTATCATTTCCTGATTTCATACCCCCGTTTGGTTTCACTACTTTTTGGTCCTTAACCTCCTCCATCTTTGAAGCTCCATTTCGATTTGACTTCTTGTGTCCGTTCATTGTTGTAGTACTCTTCATACTATGTGATTCTTTTGAGTCCACAACTTCAACCAAAGTGTTTCCAGTATTTGAAATAGTTCCTGTCTCCTGAATTGGTTCTTTTGAGTCTACAGCTTCAAACAAACTGCTCCCATTATTTCTATCTACCGAAATATCTGTAGGTTACAACCAAACAGTGCAGTACATTAAAATGCATCTCTCGCTGATTACAGGAACTAGTGTAACAAGAGACAAAATTGGTTCCAAGATTTCTCTCATTGTTTTTCAGCAGTTACTCAATAGGTGAAAGACATAAAGGTGTAACACTATAAAGTACAATTTCAGAAGGTAATCAATAGATACAAACCCTGGGCAGCGATAAAGCGTGTCATTACATAAAAATGAAGCCAGTTAAAAGGGTTTTAGAATGTTACCGATTCCTGGTTCAGATTCCTCCAAGTCTGATGCAATTCTTTTTTTCTTCCGCCCTCTCGTCTCCAATGAGTTCTTCTTGACAGATTTGACAACATCAACTTTTCCACCTTCAACTTTTTTAATACACCTTCCTTTTTCCCGCCTCAGGTTGTTTTCGGATGATTTCTTCATCTGTACAGGTGTTTCGGATTCTGCCTCTTCAGTGTTCTCTTTTCTCTCTATGCTTTCACCAAAATTCATGATAGCACCTCTGTGAGAATCAAGGGTGAACAGGTCTACCTCATCATCGCCTGACACATCGACTCCACCTTCTCCATTTCCGTTCTTCAGTACTTCAGTGTTGCCCTCCACGGTTTTTTCTCCATTTGTACCAGCACTTGGATGTTCAGGGGGCACAAAACCCTTTGGTTTATTACTTGGCTTACTGCCGAAATCTCTAATTTTATGCTTTCTTTTAAATATTAAAGCAGCATTAAGCTCTTTCTCATCCAAATTAACACCATGTTTCCTGCCATTTTTATCAACATCCACCCTTGGATAATTAACAGAATTTGCAGGCTGCTTGTCGCTACCCTTCTCCAGTCTCTTTCTCATCTTGATTAATCGTTCGTCAACTTCCTTCTTTATTCCAATTTTAACATCACTATCTTCTCCATCCTCGCTCTCCTCATCGACGTTACTTCCCTTCGTCTCCAACCTCTCCTTCTCTCTTGCCTCCCTTGCCATATGTCGAATTTCCTTGATCTTTTTCTCCATTTCAGTCTCATCCACAAATACAATACCCCCATTTTCACCATTTTGCTTTCCGTCTCCATTCACAAACATTCTCAATTTGTGCTTACTTTTACCTTCCAAATCCAGGACTTCATTTTTATAGCCATTACGATCCGAAGTTCCATTATTTCCACTATAATCAGCTGAACCAAGTACCCAAACAGCACAAACCGTTTGAAATACAAAGGCTCCAACTACCCACAACCCAAATTTCAGTAACGAGCTTTTAGTAAAGACACCTGTAGTTGCATCAACAACTCAGTTTTTACAGCCATTAAGGTATTAAAAGTTTTAACTTTTATAGCATAAATCATCAAAATTCACTACAGGGGTTTTAGAAAAATGTACCTGCAGATGCATCAACAACTCCGGCAGGGCCTGAAACTTCTGACAGTCGGAGTTCTTGATTTCCCGACGTGTTCAGCTCGTCTCCGGCGGCTAGGTCGGAGGAAAAAATGTGGGTTTGTTGAAGTGGGGTTTCATAGAAAGTACCTGCAGTGTCATTAACAACTCCGGCGGGCTCTGAAACTTCCGGCAGCCGGAGTTTTTGATTTTCCGGCAGTTTCAGCTCGTCTCCAGTGACTTGGTCAGAAGGCAAAATGTGGGTGTGTTGAATTGGGGTTTCAAGGGGACTTATTATTGGTTCAGTTCGGGGGTTTATGTAGGGTTTAGTTAGGGTTTTGAGTATTTTTGGACGGAGATAGTTTTTTCTCTTTGTGAGTTTTCTTGGGCGCGGTGTAATTACGGCACATGCTAGCAAAAGAGGTTTCCTTGAAAGGAGAGCGTGAGGTCGAACGAAACATGGTGAAGTGCTGTAAGCTCCCGCCATGGTTGTGGAGTTTGACCTCGACACTCAAATGTGACTTTGCAATTTTTTTATTTTTATTTTATAAATCATTATAGCATATGAGTTGGACCTCAACACTCAAATGTGACTTTGCAATTTTTTATTTTTTTTTATAAATCATTATAGCATTATGCATTTTATTAAGGATAAATTAGCAAAGAGCATTTCACTTTACTACCCACCTCTTCACTTGAACTTTTCATTTGACTTATTACTATGGTAACTACGCGATCGGTCGTTTCATGAGTTACAGTCCCATTTTCTCCATTTCTGTTTCTTTATGTGTTGTTCAATTGTATTTCATCGTATCGTGTTGGTTGGTTCAGGTTCGGAGTAGTCTTGGAGTGGAATGAGGTACTTAGTCTCTTATTTAGAAGCTTAAGTTGGAAAAATTAACCGGATGTTAACTTATGTGTAGAAGATCTCGGATGTGAATTCTGATGGTTCGGATAGCTCCGTTAGGTGATTTTGGACTTAGGAGCGTGTTCGGAACGTAATTTGGAGGTCTGTGGTAGAATTAGGCTTGAATTGGCGGAATTGAAAATTTGGCGTTTTTCGGTCGGCAGTGGAAATCTTGATATCGAGGTCAGAATGGAATTTTCGGAAATTGGAGTAGGTCTGTAGTGTCATTTGTGACGTGTGTGCAAAAATTTAGGTCATTCGGAGGTGATTTGATAGGTTTCGGCGTCGTTTGGGAAATTTGAAAGTTTATAAGTTCTTAGGCTTGAATCCGAGGATGATTTGGTGTTTTGGTGTTGTTTTGAGTTATTCGAAGGCTCGACTAAGTTTGAATAATGTTATGGGATGTGTTGGCATGTTTGGTTGAGGTCCTGAGGGCCTCAAGTGAGTTTCGGGTGGTTAACAGACAATTCTTGGTTTTGGAAGTTGGAATATTTTCTGGTATTTTGTTGCAGAGAATTCCTTCATCGTGTTCGCGAAAGGGCTCTCACGTTCGCGAAGGGATTTTGAGAGGGGCAACTGAGTTGTTCTTCGCATTCGCGATGTGGCTCCCATGTTCACGAAGGTGTAGGACTTAAGGCTACGCGTTCGCGAGGTCTGTTCCACGTTCGCGTAGGGTCAGCCAGCTAAGGCTTCGCATTCGCGAGTAGGTCCTCGCGTTCGCGAACGAGGAACTTTTGGTCTGAGGCAGCTTGTGCTTCGCAAACGCGAGGGCAGTACCGCGTTCGCGAAGAGGAAACATCTGGGCAGAATGTTTAAAGTTCAAAAACGAGGGTTTGAGTTCATAATTCCAAAATTCAATAGAGAGCAGGGGAGAAGGCAATTTTAGAGGGAATTTTCAGATAAATGATTGAGGTAAGTGTTCTTCACTTGATTTTGGTTAANGGGGGGGGGGGGATGGGAGAGAATTGGAGAGTTAATTTTGGGAATTTGAATAGCCATTTGATATCGAATTTTGATAAATTTGATATGGGTAGACTCGAGATTGAATGGGCTTTCTAGTTTTGTAATTTTTATCAGATTCCGAGACGTGGGCCCGGGGGCCGAGTTTGAGCCAAATTCGGGATTTTTTTATCTAATTTGATAATTTTCATGCGGAATTCATTCCTTTAGAGTATATTGATGATAATATACTGATTTTGGTTAGATTCGGAGCATTTGGAGGCCGAGTTGAGAGGCAAGGGCATCGCGGGTTAGAGTTTTGTCCGGTTTGAGGTAAGAAATGGTTGTAAATCTTGTCATGAGGGTATGAAACACCGGATTTCACATCGTTTTACTATTTTAAGGTGACGTACATGCTAGATGACAGCGTGTGGCGTGCACTGTTGGGGATTGTGACTTGGTCCGCCCCCGTAGCAACTATTAAGTTGCGTATTTGACTAGAAACTGTATGATACTTTTGTGTTTTAGAACAAATTTCTATAATTTGGGTTGAATGCCATATTTGGACCTCGTGCCAAGCTGTTTGGACCCTTAGGGGTCTTTTCTTATTGTTTCCTTACTGTTTTGACTTAAGATCTTTACTCAATCATGTTATGTTTTAATGTTTTCGTAACTCAATACTTATTAATCTGTTTTGATGCATAAAATGATATTTTGGGCTGAGCACCCTATTTTACTGATAGCCCGAGTGGCTTGAGAGGTTTCTGACTGAGTGAGGTCGAGGGCATGTGTTGTGAGGATATTATGAGATCGAGCTGCGCCGCAGCATGATGTTACTGATTTGTGATTATGAGAGACTGATGGCCTGATTGATTTATGACACGAGGTGGCTTGTTATCGCGCTTGGGCTGTAGGAGCCCCTTCGGAGTCTATACACCCCCAGTAAGCGCGGGTACCCTGAATGAGTGATATGATGTTGCCTGAGGGGCTGTTCTTGATTCATGTTATGCCCGAGGGGATGATTACGAGTGATTGTGAGGTTTTGCCCGAGGGGCTGATTCTGAGTGATGTTATGCTCGAGGGGCGGTTTATAATACAAATTTTCCCCGAGTGGTTGTTTATGATTTTCATCACTTTTACTCTAATTGCATTGAACCTCTGTTGAAGATGTTGAAAAATATCTTCAAATGATTTTTACCGAAATTGGAATTTAAACGAGATGTTTTGACTTATATACTGATTTGAAAGCATGTTGTACTTACTAAGATTTCATGACGTGGATTTACGTGTTTCTTACTGCTCAGTCTTTATTTACCTTTATTACTTACTGAGTTGGCGTACTCACATTACTCCATGCACCTTGTGTGCAGATCCAGGGGTTGCTAGACGTGATAGCGAGCGCTGATTCTTCCATCCGTCGTGGATATTCGGAGTTGGCAAGGTAGCTGCATGACGATCGTAGCCTTGCTCTTCTCCCTCTTATCTTCCTTAGACTATATTAGTGTTTTTCAGACTATATTTAGTGATCAAAAATCAAGGAACAGGGACTCTGGTTCTTCTTCAAAGTTCAGGAATGATCGGAACAGACAAGAATCACGAGATGATGACAGAAGTTTAAAGGCACGATTCGGCGGATATAATTTTAATGTCTCTACCTCCGAGCTCGTA